TATATTCACGCAGCATTGTACCATCTCATGGACATATCAAGGAAACCATACTGAACTCAAAGTTAATATTTTATGACAGTTCCTGTAAGGCAGCACATTGGTAATTTGCAAAAATCCAGCCCTTGGCGATCGACAAATTCTCAGCAAATGGCGACGTTATTGATTCTGAACTTCACAGGAAGTTGACTGCTCTGAATTTGAAGGGCTCTTTTAAAAATCAATCTGTATGGCAAAATCGTGGATCAGGTATCGGTTTGTCATGAATAAATTCTAAAGAAACAACGCTGCCCAAACAGGCTTTTTTTCTCCCCAGCCTGTCTTATCAGCCTCCCGCTTCTTTATGCTAGCAACGATTTTCCCGTGGTTAATATGTATTGATAAAACCTACATCCTCACAAGATCGACTCTCCTCTGAAGTTTCGAAGAACATGGCTGTTTATATGGCCCCCAGCTGATAAGCTGACGTGTATCGATGCTGCATCGATCGAGTTCCCTATTGGCGTGCCATGGAGGTACGCTCATCGAAACAAGTTACCACTAATCTCAACACTTGGGCTTTCTTTAAGCATGTATTAACAGGAATCCGACCCAGCAACGATATTTACTGTTACTCCAGTTATTAATATTGGGGATTTTCTTTTCATAAATGCTTCTTACAATTTTCAGAGTATTTATATTTTTTACAGCCGTTAAGTGGTCGCAAATTGTCGTCACATTTATCAAGTAGTTTATCATCTACTACTTGGACTATAAGGTATAATCGGGTAATTGTAAAACACTACCACAGAGACGGAGGTGGATTTGACTTCCATGTGTGAGACTGGATCTTTCCGTGAGGTCCCTGGGTACAGCCGTGACAATGGTGGTAGAATAAATAACCCAGTGCAAACATTGGGTTTAAATCAATAAGTTCAAAGAATACACATACGACAGATCGATCGGACAAGAAGAAATGTAAAAGTGAAAACAGTGGTCGATGTCACCACAATCGATGACCAAATGCCAAGACTTTCATTTATTCTTATACTTTGAGTGACACCTCGTATTATCGATATTTAAAAAGTTTGTGTCTGAAATGAAAATGTTTACCTATTAGGTCTATAAAATCCTAATTCTTCATTTTCCGGAAATTTAAATGGAAGAAATTCTGGCATCTAAATCCATCCAAATTATGATGGACTCTCATGAGTTCTTTGAACGTGTTGCATTCACGGTCTGTATGTGGGAGGAGAAGGAGAATTACAGAGAACTTTCAGATATGAGTGACTTAGTGTGTGCAAAGGTGTGGCGAAATGTGGCTCAGCGCCATGTTCAAGATTATTGCACTTCAACATCATGCTTAAATACGTGAAGGTCAGGGTTAGAATTGGTCTTCAGCAACTCACGCTGGTCGTAGGAGGCGACAAACGGGATCGGGTCGTCAGGCTCTCTGACTTCATTGATGCATTTCATCGTATCCCAGTTGCGTAGATCGACGCTCGTGCTGTTTATCCCTGGATTGTCTGGTTGAGACTCGATTATTTACAGACCGCCGCCACAAGCTGGAACATTGATGAGTGTGGCGTTAAATAATAAACAAGCAAGCAAAACAAAACAGCATGCTTAAAATTGTAGTATGGATGCTTTTGCTTATGGTGGTGTTACCCTCTGAGATACCCGCGATACCAAGCCATAGTTTAACATGAATAGTCCACTGAGACACAGTACTTTGACTGCAAGCCCACCATGCCCTGCTTTAATTTATCCCTTTGTGCCACTCGTCAGGCAGACAACAAGTACCGTTTCTTAACGTCTTTTGGTGTGACGTGGCCTCGCGTTAACGCAGCTTGAAATATATGCAGGCAGTGTTGCTTCTTTAAACAGAGGATTATCGACCTCAGAACCTCTTTTAAAAGGAAAAAATATATAGGTAATATGAATATTGAAATATTGATTTTAACTTGCATACCGATGTCGCATCATCGTAAACAGCACGATCATATTGTCATATGTCACATGTGTTCATCGCTCTGAATCTAGGATCAATACACATCAATAACTAAGGTGTTATCTGTATCTACACGTAAGGTCTGGGTTTAGCAAAACACATGTGTTGTGTACGGAGTTGTGCTTTGTATCAGTTGAGTGCTAATTGCCCTTTGTATAAAATGGAGGCAAAAGGAGGAATATAAGGGATATGTAGTGGAAAATATCGGAACAACAATCCTCCTTTATGACCACAAGATGTAAGTAAGTCTGGGTCTTGGGTATAGACAACCAAGTGATCCACAACGTGAGCAACGTTCCACGCCGTCGGAGTGGGCGACGCAGTGCACCAAGTCACCGACTGTGGAGCATATAATCTATAACCCGTATATCCTGGTGACAACTACGTTCGAAAACAATATACGCCAGTTTTGAAGTGCATAACTGGCGTATATTGTTTTCGAAGGTTGAGCAAAAGCCTTCTCTTTGGGCAAAATTTAAATTACGGTTCTTCCTGAATTAATACAATTCCATAAAACTCTTGTGAGCGTCTAATCACCATGGGCAGTTGAAGTAGATCTTCGCCTCGTGACCACGAAGCTACGTCCAGTCCGAATAATGAGAGTGGACACTCACTTATTATTACCAAACAGAATTTTGTATAAGAGTAGACGGGCTCGGTAAAATACCAGTATTTGAAAGGGTTGTTTTTGTTTTTCGTACTCAGCAACATTCCATTTATACGGCTGGTAATTAATTGAGTCGTGACCAGATAATGTAGTGAACATCGACCTAAGCAATTAGCATAGGAAATTAGAATGATACAGGGCGACTCTTCTCCACGCTATTGGTGCGCATCCTAACCCTCGTGGCTTGTGTCATGTGTGGCGTGTAAAATTGTAGCTTCATAGTTAGAGCGCTGGTTCATTTTGGGATTTAGTGTCATCGTGTTAGTAGTACCGAAAGCTATGGACCCGTGAAGGTCCGGGTTAGAATGTACCTTCAGTAACCCATGCTTGTCGTAAGAGACGACCAACGGGATCGGGTGGTCAGGCTCGCTGGCTTGGTTGACACATGTCATCGGTTCCCAATTGCGCAGATCGATGCTCATGCTGTTGATCACTGGATTGTCTGGTCCAGACTCGATTATTACAGACCGCGGCGTAAAACTATACTCAGTCAGCCAGTCGAAATCTATGGAAGCATATAAGGGACGCTGTCGCGTTATCGCACTAACTAAAACGGCAAAAGTGTCAAAATTAACCAAAGCGGGACAACGCGACAATGTCCCTTTTAGGATTCCATAGAAAACAATAGTTGTTTTTTATTCAACTGCGTGAATCTAAGGACGAGATATGGCATTTGGGGCGTATGGGAACACTGCATGTATTAAGAAGGATAAACAGTTATAAAGGTGATTGTAGAGTTTTGCAGAATGGTTCTCATATCTAAACAAGAGCACATCTGTCACCACAACCTCGGGCCCGGCGTCTGCCATATGAACATGTCTGATAGTTGTCATACTGCTGTAAGACTGATATTACCAGCGGCTCACCGCAGGGACTGTTATAAAGTCTAAGCCTGGCCCCCTTTAAAAATATCAACAGGTATGCAACACATAGCGTTTACAGGTACGTGTTAACCCACGTAAAAGATGAAGCATATCACTAGCATAACACTGGTTATATTTCATGTGTGATGTGTTTACGATGATGCTCCGGCGCACTGATGACTAACATAACATCACTGCCACAGGCTAATTTGCACATCACGTGACCGGACTTTTCTCTTGTTTGTAAACAAACGCGCATAGTCATAATAAGAAGAGACTGGCCTTACGCAAGCTTTTCGGCGCGCTCTTTACAATGTTTTACAGTGTTACATATATATTCTTCCACAACTGCGACAGTAACATTTATGACAGTACATATTTAGATACAAACTGGTTGCATCGCGTGCTGTCGGCTTAGATGACAGCACGTGGAGCCGTACAACCTACGTAAACAAAGGATCGCTACGCAAATCGAAATAGTGTTACATGTTTTAGGAATTTTCTCAGTGAAACTAAGCCATTCTATCAAAGATGTTTAATTAGATGTTTAGGCTCGTCAAAGATAAAAGAGTTAAGAAATATGTACATTATATTGACTGGACGGTGCAAGATGTGACGAATCGTCACATTTTTCTGGCCTGTGGCAGAGATACTATGCTGGCTTGCCGCATGGAGCTCTGGGTAGGAGAAGTGAATGAGTTTAGTTTTACGCCGCTTTTAGCAATATTCCAGTAATATCACGGCGGGGGACACCAGAAATGGGCTTCACACATTGTGCCCGTGTCGGGAATCGAACCCGGGTCGCCGGCGTTAGGATTGTTAATAAGTGGCTCATTAACATTGTATTGCCTCAACATGTATGGATCGTGAAACAGATTTTAATAATAAATAAGCCAATCTCATATGTGAAGTTGAACTGTTATGTTCCGGTTTTGTTATACTTCGTTTCTCTGTTTTATTGTTTTAATTTTTCATATTTTTGTATCAAAATGACGTTTGGCAAATATATCGATGTTACTTTGTAGGTCATATCTTTAGGATTTTACAGTTATTTTTAGTACAATTGCCAAAATATATCGAGGATTTTAATGGGGAATTTACAACGTGAACAGTTAGAATTGCAAACTAATATTTTCCTCACGAGGAGTGGCATACTGCAGTCATTCTGGAGAATTCGATCTTAACTCTTAAACAACAGTAAAGAGCAATATAAATAAGTAACTCAGAAACAATTACTTAGTAAACAAACAAAATAAGTTGTGTGCCTACTATTATTCATCATAGTAACGCTGGGCGGGGCTTAAGTCAGCCAATGAAAAAATATGAATTCAGTGACATCGTGACAGTCATGCCGTGTCAACCAATCAGCACTGAGTTCCTATGACGTCACGCCATTGTCGCAAGCCCAGCTCATTTCCATTGCGACTCGCCAGCTGATCGGACGCCTTTACGTGGCGGGATTTTCAAAATGAGTAATCACGACATGGATCAAAACCCGGAGCCAGAACATAAGCCTAGGGTACTACATGAAACTGCCTTTCAAAGATTCACCATTGGCTCAAAGTAAGTGACAGCTGTTCTTATAAAATGTGATTAGCTTAGTAAGCCTTACAAGTATGCTTTGTCTTAGCGTTATTGAAATGCCATTGAACTTTAAAAAATGATATTATTGTGGTGCAGCGAAACAACACTATCGTACTCAGTGTTTTATGGCTGCCTATGTTGTTTCCCAGTTCAATGAATACAATGACCCAGTTCCTGGAAGCTCGCAGACAAATGGAGGCGCAAGTTTCCACTATCATGTCTGAGTTTGCCGATGGATGGACGAAGACACTGAACAAGACCGTCGGTAAGGTGGACAATGGCGAAACATGATCATTTTTTTTAGATAAATGTTCCTTTTACCTTGTGTTTGTTTTATTTTATGTACCCCATATTGCTATTTGTCTTGCTGGAGATACGTGTAGGGTAGGATCGCATATTGTTTAAATTTACCACTTCCAGACTAGTTTTTGAGAATATCTAACCTAAGGGGAAATAACTCTATGTGTGAAAGAGTAGACTACTCCCTCAGCTCTGAAGTATTCTGTCCTGAACACTTGGACCATTATCACACAGATCTTGAGTATGGAACAATGCGACACCTATGGCAGCTGATCATTGAGGAGAATCTGAAGACTGCACATATTCACGATCGTGTGAAGAATGAGCTCGGATCCTATGACGGTCCACTTGAAAAATTACGCGCGTAAGTAGAAACTCATTTGATACATATTGTTATCGAATTAGGGACAAGTGTTCTTTGTAGTACCAGCGTCCATAACAGTTATAACTAACTACAGTGAAAGTCTTTTAACAATGTTGGCCAAGGTTCAACTTGGATGTGAAGGAAATATGGAGAAACTATAAACCAGACAATCTGCAAAATAATAATTTATTGTAAAGTGTTTCAGTGTTTGCATGCTATGATTTTATTCTAAAACACTGATAGGCATATTCACATAAGTATTTCAGAGAACGACAGACATTCCTAGCCATTAGGGTTGTTATGTTTATGATGCAGATCAGTTGAATAGTTTAGTCAGTGATTCCAGACCAAACTTAGGCAGGAATTCGAATTGTTGTGCAAAAGATAATGTTCTTAAGACCCCAGGATAACACCCTTAAAGGAATTATGGGGATACACTCACAGAATACTATAGATTGTCCAAAGATTAACACGTGGACAGTTGCAATGCCTGTTTCAGTGTAGCTAAATTCATTCATCTTTTAAATTAAACTTGTTGGTAAAGAGAACATAACTGTTGCAATGGTCCATGCAATGTTAAAAGAATGTAGGGTAAGATACTTAATTGTCGTATACAACTGTGATTAACTTGATTCAATGATACTGTTATGTTTATAGCTACATGAAGTCACCAATCCATCAGAAAGCTGAGAGGATCCTCCAGTTGTACAAAGAAACTCAGGATAGGCATAAGATCATCCAGGAGAGCATCAGCACAGCCAAAAGGGTAAGCAAGTTGCCAACATATTAACTGTTTAACTGTTTCCACATAAACAAGAAATCAAGAATCATATTATTATTATAATATTTCAGAGATCAGGATCAATTGTACATGCACATGACTGTTTTACTATCATTTAGCATGTATAACTGTCGAATCTGTTTCAGGGTTTACATCACCATGTTCTTGCTGCAGGACATACAGTGAGTGACTCTTTTCAGATGTAGTTAACATCAGGATTAATCAAAGTGACTGTTTTTCTTCAGATTTATCATGAGAGGATGAGGAGACTTGAAGATGCCAAGGAAGAGATGGAGCGAAAGAAGTACCGCAGCAAGACTTCCAAAAAGTATCGCGAGCTGGACTCCAGGATACTTCGTCTTCAAGACGATGCTGACAGAGCACGCTTCCAGTACCTGCAGCGTCTGCAACAGGAGAAAGAAGAAAGACCTCTCTATCTCAAAGTGAGTTAAATGATTATAACTGTATAGGATTAATGTTTGAAAACTTTTTCTCAAGTAACATATGCATGAGTCATCATAACTGATGTACATTTGGCTCTTGGCTCCAGAAAGATGAGGACCTGCTAATATTTACAGTTAGTGCCCATTTGTATCAGTCAGCAGTCTGTACTTTGATATAGCTATAGCATGAATACACAATGCCTTCTTGAAAGGGGTCATATGTAAAATGTGTTATATTTGGTATTACATATTCTCAGCTAAGTACAGATTCTAGTACGTTGGGGGTTGAGCCTACATTGGGATTCTAACACACACTCAGAATAAGGCACCTAATCTCCAGCACACAAAGTCAGCCATTCAACTCACTCATCCACCCTAGCTTCCTGGGCAATTAGTTTAGAATAACAGATAAATTCCCTCTGCAAATCTACTTCATCGATTCATGGCAGATTGTGATAACTCAGTTTTTACCTAAACCATACATTACTAAAATTGGTACTCTGAAACAAAATGAACATAGCTGCAGTATAACAAACTTACACACTAAATGATGCACCTTCCCTGATGCCAAAGTATTATTTTTATGCTACAGAGCATGAAGAAAGTAAAGCGTGACTTTGACAGACTTGAGAAGGAAAGACTCACACATGTGAGGAACATATTCCAGGAAACTGTTAAGATTTCTGAGCTTCAAGATGACAGGTAAGCTGACTGCAGTGTACTTGCAAAGGGCAAATATGATTAAATGATAATAGTGCCAGGATATATGTTGATAAGATACCAAAACTTTCAGAGTTTTAGACCTGTGCAAGAAACACAAGTTCATCTGCTGAAGTGCACATGTCAGTTACATATTTTCCAGTTGAAACGAAAACGTCTGCTTCAAGAGTTCAGTTGGTAGTCCACAGAAATTTCTTTCCTCAAATACTTGCAACAATTTTGAACGTGAAAGGACTTGATCTTTCAAATATTTTCCATTTCACTGCTTAAAAAAGTAGGTATTTAACTAGAATTTCACTTTCTGTTCTAGGAGTAGCAGAGAGACATACACAAGTGAGCTGCGCCAGAGCCTGAACAACCTCAAACTGGAGCAGGAGATACTGAAGTATGATAAGGTGTTCCTCAAAGACTATGACATCCCAAGCTTCCAGGTACAGGCCTATCTATACATGACAATGTTTCTTGTTCATTCAGAGTGGTCTCGTTTCTCTACATGCATGAGTTGGACTCAAGGATGCTACGTATATGCTTGACAGTGCCCCTAATTACTTCATGTATATATTAATTGATTAGGTTGGATGAAGGGTATTTGTTATTACAGAATGGTGACATACATCAATAATCAATTCTACATACAAGACACTTCCTTATAGGAAACTATTATATCAAACATTTCCTTCAGTCCATCATTCACCCTTTGTGGGATAACAGATTAATCATTGAAAACAGAAATTAAGACTGGCTCATCACTGTTAGAGTGTGTGATTAATTTGTTTCAATCCATTTTAGGAGTATGTCCCTCACCAATTTGACAATGAGGAAGAAGAGCAAGAGAAGTCTGAGGAAGAGCAGGAATCTCAAATGTAAGCTGGTGTATCTGCATGGTGCAAAACGTTATAGGGATTACAAATAAAGCTAGTTACTCCAATTTAGTATGTCTATTGTCACTATTTCATGGGCGAAGGTTTCATAACTCTGTAAAAATGAATTATTATATGAAGTATTCAAAATTTAAATGGGTCCTGAAGCTAATGATATTTGCTGCAATAATATGAACCCTGGGACCCCTTAAATATTTGACATTTTAAGATTTGGGTATTGCCATGATTAAATTGCATCAAGTAATTTTACCTCAAATTTTCTCATGGCTTATTACTTCATAACAACACATCTTTTGTTATCCAGTGTAAACTTTCTCAATTACAGCATTGTGGAAGCTACAGTAGAGAGCTGTAAGTATTTGCCATTCATAAGTCTCTTTTGTGGAGGATAACTGATTGTTTGTGATCACATTAATCTGATTAAACTATATCAAAGATTCTGAAATATGTTTAACTGCAAGTCTAATACATCTGTCAGTGAAATTCTATTGGCTTTAAAGTCAGCATGATCTTTTCTTGATTGTTTTATCTGTTTTGAACCATACAATAACTGCCTAGGTAAAGAAATCATCATCTTCATCCTAATTTACAGTTAAGAACAGAGCAATGGTAGTTTAGAAAAGCAGACTTGTAAGTTATATTTTTCAAATGCTATTCTGATGGCATGAAAATACAGCACAAACCAGCTTTGAGAGTTGTAGACATTTCCCTTATGTTACAGTGACTCCCACAGATCTGCTTCCAAATCGTCCCACTCTGCCACCACTGCAGCACCAGACTGCCCCAGTAGCACAGGACCTCAAGGATGACCAGCTGTGGTGGGCACAGATCAGGCCCACAAGGAGAACAATAGATCCACTCACATCCCCTCCACCCACTACACTCAGGGATGTTGCAACTGCCTTTGTTGAGAGTGAGTAGTCAGCTTGTGTCCCTCTGATATAACCCCATGGCCAGTTGGACAAATTGGTCCCCAGCAAACTACAACATGAGGATCTGGTGATAACAGTGTGTGACCTGGACCAACTTGTCTGAAATGATCATTATGCAAATGTAGTATGGTGTGTTGTCATCCCTCAGGTGATTTTTACCTTGTCAGCTTGTTGACTGGTTTATCCTCTTTGGTCATGTGAACAGGGTGTCTCACTTCAGATCAGCATGTCCATGGTTCGAATCTCAGAAGTCTTTTGAATGCTGCACTAAGGTTATTGTTATGCCTGAACAAAAGTTGTAGCACAGAGATAACATTTTGCCTGGATTGTTTTGGTCATGCAGGCTTCTACTGTATTGTTTGATTAGCAAAAAGGACAGTTTTCATTTGGTTAATTGCTTGGTTGTACCTCACTCTTTGAAACATTTCATTGAAAACTTGAACTGCACCTGTTGAAAATCGATGGTAACATTTTCATGCTATATCCATATCTTTTATTGATATTCCAGAGAAACTGAAACGTCGCAGAAAGTCACCTGAAGCTTCCTCCAGTGAGGACGAACATGTTCCATTCTATGCCCCTGGTGGAACATCTAAGATGACAAACGTAAAAGTCAAGGTCATTCGTCACTACAATGGAAAGGGTCCAAAAGATCTGAAAGATCTCAAAATTGGTACAAATCTTTTCCTTTATTGGTCCAGTATTCTCAGGTTTAATTATTTACTACTGTTGACATCTGCACAGTATGAATTCCTAAATTTCTCGTGATCACAGTTTACCTTCCCTTGTTTTTCATGGACATTTTATAGGATAATCAAACATTGACATAAGGGAAAGGAATTTTGTTCTAGGCCCTACTCCACAAAGCAATGTTAATGCTAAGGTGATTATAACTACCATACTTTAACATAGACTTACAATTGCTGCAGTGGTAAGTTCACTTTGTGGAATGGGACACATTTCAGCTTCAACGGGTAGAGAAATAGCAACATTTAAAGTGTTCACTCACAGTTTAGATTCCCCATTATTGGTTCAAATGTCAGGATGATTCTTTGTATCCCCAACTGATATTGTTGGAACATCTTTACCTTTACAACTTTGACCTTCATTGACCATTGCAATTTGACCAAACTTCAAGCTGCAACTTCTTATGGCCATAACACCTCAGCTGTCTCATAAGCTCTGCAAACTTCTTGTCCTATGAAATTGTCATCAAGAGGGTGCTGAACATTTGCATTTTTATTCAGGTCAGACGATCAAGCAGAAGACAACAGCCAATGAACATGGCATGGCCTATGGCTGGAGACGATCTTCACGCACCGGGCGTAAGAAGTATGGCATGTTCCCTGTGGAATGCACTGAGCTGAAGCCAAAGACAAAGTCAACACTCGCCAACCGCCTCTTTAACATTACTTTCAGAAAGTGAATAAGTCTTAAGAAAGAAACCTTAACTGTTGGATGTTTTTTTTCATGTATAGATTCAGACTAAGGCATAACCATATTAATTTTTTTTTATTGCAAATATAAATTGATACTTAAATTATTTTATAACACTTACACAGTAAACTGAAGTATTTTCTATAATATTAATCTGGATAAGAAGAGAGGATTTCATTAATATTTTGTGAACTTATATTTCAGAAATTATATTTACATACAGCAGTGTATTGGATTATTGAGCAATATTTGTATACTTTGATGTTTCGATACTTTATGTCTCTATATCAGTGTTTATTGTTTGATGTAACACTATTTAATGTATTTATTCTACCTGTTTGAGAAAATCTGGCCAGTCCCCTACTATTATGTTAAATATGTTTTTGATATAGATATGAGTATGCTTTTCTATTGTCATTGGATCATATTCAGATTGAGAGTGTGAAGTTGTATGTAAGACCTTATTCAACAATAAGTATTGAGATTACATTGGTTCCCTGGCTATTTACATGAGTAACGAGATTACATTGGTACCCTGGCTATTTACATGAGTAATGAGATTACATTGGTACCCTGGCTATTTACATGAGTAATGAGATTACATTGGTTCCCTGGCTATTTACATGAGTAACGAGATTACATAGGTACCCTGGCTATTTACATGAGTAATGAGATTACATTGGTACCCTGGCTATTTACATGAGTAACGAGATTACATTGGTTCCCTGGCTATTTACATGAGTAACGAGATTACATTGGTACCATGGCTATTTACATGAGTAACGAGATTACATTGGTACCCTGGCTATTTACATGAGTAATGAGATTACAATGGTGACCTGTCTTTTTAAATGAGTAACGAGATTACATTGGTACCAGGCTATTCGTACAAGTATTGAGATTACATTAGTTCTCTGGGTATTGACATGAGTAATGAGATTACAATGGTGACCTGTCTTTTTACATGACTAACAAGGTTACATTGTTACCATGGCTATTCTAATAAGTGTTGAGATTCATTGGTACCCTGGCTATTTCCATGAGTAACAAGATTACATTATAACACTGGCTATCCGTATAAGTAATGAGATTACAATGGTGACCTGTCTTTTTACATGACTAACAAGGTTACATTGTTACCATGGCTATTCTAATAAGTGTTGAGATTACATTGGTACCCTGGCTATTTCCATGAGTAACAAGATTACATTATAACACTGGCTATCCATATAAGTAATGAGATTACAATGGTGACCTGTCTTTTTACATGACTAACAAGGTTACATTGTTACCATGGCTATTCTAATAAGTGTTGAGATTACATTGTTATTTCCATGGATTACATTATAACACTGGCTATATATAAGTAATGAGATTACAATGGTGACCTGTCTTTTTACATGACTAACAAGGTTACATTGTTACCATGGCTATTCTAATAAGTGTTGAGATTACATTGGTACCCTGGCTATTTCCATGAGTAACAAGATTACATTATAACACTGGCTATCCATATAAGTAATGAGATTACAATGGTGACCTGTCTTTTTACATGACTAACAAGGTTACATTGTTACCATGGCTATTCTAATAAGTGTTGAGATTACATTGGTACCCTGGCTATTTCCATGAGTAACACGATTACATTGTCTATTGGTATTGAGATTACATTAGTTCTCTGTGTATTTCCATGAGTAATGAGATTGCAGTGGTGACCTGGCTTTTGACATGAGCAGCATGATTACATTGCTACCCTAGCTATTCGTATAAGTAATGAAATTACTTTGTTACCCTCGCTGTTCGTATAAGTATTGAGATTACATTAGTTCTCAGGGTATTTACATGAGTACCGAGATTACATTGTTACACTGGCTAATTGTATAAGTATTGAGATTAAATTAGTTCTCTGGGTATTTACATGAGAAAAGAGATTGCAATGGTGACCTGGCTATTAACTTGAGTAACGAGGTTGCATAGGTGACCTGGCTATTAACTTGATTGACTAGGTTTCAAAGGTGACCTGGCTATTAACTTGAGTAACGAGGTTACATAGGTGACCTGGCTATTAACTTGATTAACTAGGTTTCAAAGGTGACCTGGCTATTAACTTGAGTAACGAGGTTACATAGGTGACCTGGCTATTAAATTGATTAACTAGGTTTCAAAGGTGACCTGGCTATTAACTTGATTAACTAGGTTACATAGGTGACCTGCTATTAACTTGAGGGCCCATGAAGATCTGGGTTTGAATTGGTCTTCAGTAACCCATGCTTGTAGTAAGAGGCGACTAACCGGATTGGGTGGTCAGGCTCACTGACTTCGTTGGCACATGTCATCGGTTCCCAACTGCGCAGATTGATGCTCATACTGTTTATCACTGGGTTATCTGGTCCAGACACACGCCACCATATAGCTGGAATATTTCTGAATACGGGCTTCAAACCAGAAACCAACCAATTCAACTTGAGTGATGAGGTTACATAGGTGACCTGGCTATTAACTTGAGTAACAAGGTTAAATAGTTGACCTGCCAGCTGGATATTAACTTGAGTAGCAAGGTTACATAGGTGACCTGGTTATTAATTTAAGTGATGAGGTTTCATAGGTAATCTGGGGTGGTTGATTAGCCTAGTGGTTAAAGCGTTCGCTCGTCTCGCCGAAGGCCCGGGGTTCGATTCCCCACATGGGTACAATGTGTGAAGCCCATTTCTGGTGTTCCCCTGCCATGATATTGCTGAAATATTGCTAAAAGCGGTGTAAAACCAAACTCACTCACTCACTCATAGGTAATCTGGCAATTAACTTGACTAACGAGTTTACAAAGGTGACCTGGCTATTAACTTGAGTGATGAGGTTTCATAGGTGACCTGGCAATAACTTGAGTAACAAGATTTCAAAGGTGATGAGGTTTCAAAGATGACCTGGCTATTAGCTTGAGTAACGAGGTTACATAGGTGATCAGGCTATTATCTTGAGTGATAAGGTTTCATAGGTGACCTGGATATTAACTTGAGTGATGAGGAGGTGACCAGGCTATTCATGAGGGTGACCTGGCTATTAACTTGAGATGAGGTTTCATAGCTGACCTGGCTATTAACTTGAGTACTGAGGTTTTATAGATGACCTGGCTATTAACTTGAGTGATGATGTTTCATGGGTGACCAGCTGGCTATTAACTTGAGTAATGAGGTTTCACAGTTGACTTGCAGGCTATTAACTTGAGTGATGAGGTTTCATAGATGAGCTATTAACTTGAGTGATGATGACCAGCTGGCTATTTTCATAGGATGACCTGGCTATTAACTTGAGTGATGAGGTTTCATGGGTGACCAGCTGGCTATTAACTTGAGTAATGAGGTTTCACAGTTGACCTGCAGGCTATTAACTTGAGTGATGAGGTTTCATAGGTGACCTGGCTATTAACTTGAGTGATGAGGTTTCACAGTTGACCTGCAGGCTATTAACTTGAGTGATGAGGTTTCATGGGTGACCTGGCTATTAACTTGAGTGATGAGGTTTCACAGTTGACCTGCAGGCTATTAACTTGAGTGATGAGGTTTCATGGGTGACCTGGAGTGATGAGGTTTCATGGGTGACCTGGCTATTAACTTGAGTGATGAGGTTTCAAAGTTGACCTCAGGCTATTAACTTGAGATGATGAGGTTTCATAACTTGAGTGACCAGCTGGCTATTAACTTGAGTGATGAGGTTTCACAGTTGACCTGCAGGCTATTAACTTGAGTGATGAGGTTTCATGGGTGACCTGGCTATTAACTTGAATGATGAGGTTTCAAAGTTGACCTGCAGGCTATTAACTTGAGTGATGAGGTTTCATGAGTGACCTGGCTATTAACTTGAGTGATGAGGTTTCATGGGTGACCTGGCTATTAACTTAGTGATTTGGTTGCCGTAGCTATTTACACTAGTAATGATGTAAGTTAGAATGACTCAGCTATTAACACAAATACTAAGGTTACAGAGGTGGCCTTGTAATGACATTACAAAGATTACAAAGGTACCATGGCAATATACATGAGTAATGCCATGACTTAATTGACCTTGCAATATATATGAGGGACAGTATAATAAGCCTCTTATGTTGCAATGAATTTATACTCTAATGTGTACAAGTCAGTTGTTTTGGATAATTTCCTCCTTTGAACATGTAAATTTCTGCAATTTTAGTATTACACAGCAGTTTTGATTTTTTTTAAAGTAATTATTTCTGTACTATTTGTATGCTACTCTCTCCAACATGTGCCTGTCACAGAGACCCTTCTTTTATGTGATATATATATTGACAACTACTCAGTTACAAACACCTACAAGCCATAAGTTTTTGGTTTTGTTCTGCCACATAATTTGATATTTCTCCACAAGTCTTATTCAAGCTTTGCAAGTTTCATGATACCCTTTTTAAGATAACTCTCGCTACTCCAAGATTATTGTTACAGCAAGATTAATGGGTTTTTTTGTGAACTGTATACATCGCAACTTTTATAGTTTGTTGATTTCATTATCTGATACTGTAGTGCTGACAAAGTAAGAAAATGGTTTTGTTTGCCTTTCATGCCATGTTCTCTTCTGCCTGTCTGGTTGGAGAATTGTATGAATGTCTCTGAGTGTTGCGATGACCTACTGATTAGTAAGGAGATTGGTGTTAAAGAGATAGTGTGCTCTTTATTTGACCATACTATGAATAGAGTCTTAGTTATAACACAAATAGCAGTAATTGCATAACTTAAGTGGGGCTGAAAGTTACTGTAATTAATGCTTTTTAGTAGTCATAGAAACAAAACAAGTATTTAAATAATGATATAATAATAATAATAATAATAACAATCTGTAAAATAATAATAATAAGTTTTAATATTAAATATGAATTATACAGTAAGATTAAGGGAAAACTAAGTATAATAATAATATAGTTATATAATTATATGAATAATACATTAATATAATGAACATAACATAACTTCTCTTTTCTTT